CCCCCCCCCCCCCCACGGGCCCATTTTTTCTTGTGAGTTTGTTGTGAGTTTATTTTTTGACAGACATATTTTCAGTTTTAGCTGTGCTACATAAACCTGATTTCATATACATGTATTACAGACAGTACTTCAACAAATTGAGTTGTTATCATTTATCGTTTATTTTAGGACATAGATGATGTCATAACAAAAGGAAAGGAGGTAAATTATGTTTAGATTTTCAACACTTAAATAGTCAATCTCAAAGGTTGATGATGAATTGCAAATTACTAGGCTCCTTTAACCAAAGACAACACCTTAAATTATTTGGTCCTGTCTTATTACTGTATAAGCAAAGTCTGCAGTGGCTCAGTCATGCAAAATCCATGCTAAAGCAACAACAGATGTAGTTGGCCAGAATATTACACAGATTGACACATTATAAATTGGTACTTGATTGGATGTTCAAATCTGGAGTATTTATCTTGCATGCAGCAATTTATATTTATCTCATAAATTTGAGTACAGGTTGTAAAAATATGAATTTGAAATAAGTTTAAAAGGCTGTATTCTAAACATACAATATTTAACATGTGGTGTGAATGTTAACAGTTAGAAATGTATAAGAATGAATGTAATATAAGCAAAAATCTCAATTTTTTAGGAGTCTCTAGTAAGAATTTAAATCTTAAAACGGACATCTACTGGTGCCCGTTATATTAATTGTAATTTAGGCCCCATTCCCATAGACACCATATCAGTCTACGTGGATTGACCCAACTCTGCAAGCATGTCATTCAGTTAAGCTGATTGTACTTAGCGAGAGTCCTTGCAGAGTTAGGTCAATCCATGTACAGTAGACAATGACATCTGGGTATGGGGTCTTATATGTAGTTCTCTTTTAAATCTGTGGATATAATTTTCTACCAGGCAGGAATTGCTGCTGCAGTTGTGGTGCCAGAACACTTTGGAGAATTTCAAAAAGTGTTAGATCTCGCAGAGAGGTACAGTGGCTTTATTTCTAGTTATTAATCAGTCTCTGCTTGTCAGTTGTGCTTAAAAAATGATAATATTTAATCTGAGATATTTTACTACAAAGTGAAGGTACTTTTCATAATGGAAATGATGGCTTGATTATGAATATGGTTGTCAAACATCTGGCAATTCACACTTTGTCACCTTTTATTTCAAAGTTACAATTAAGAATTCATTAGGTCACTATCAGCATGCCTATGTCATGTCTGGTAATGGCAAAGGCATGCCATTTATGAAGTTAATCATAAATAGTTTTTGAAACTTCTGTTGAACATTTTCTAGGTATCCAGATTTCATAGCCCCATGTCTTGGGGTCCATCCTGTCCAGGTAAATAATGATTTTTAAAGTAATACTGTATGTATATTATTCATTTTTACTTACTAGTCAGCCTGTTCACTAATGCAGTTGTGTTTGTGTGAAGCTCCAAATTTATGAATTAATCTCTTAATTTTTTTTATAAATGCTAACAGACAATTTCTTAATGTTATATTGATTATGTGTAATTAGAAGCGAGACGTATAGGTGTCAAGATGTTTTATAAGTATTGCTACTTAATTTTGGGAGTTGGTACAATGTTTGGCAGGGTAACCATTACCTGAAGAGACTTCAATTACTAAAAAACTATCTGTACCATTCTTACTTGTATGTTTCAGGGTTCAAACCCAAATGAAAGAAGTGCTTGTTTGGAGGTAATGGTCATGCAATGAATGTTGGGCATTGTATGATTTTCTGTATCTTTTTAAAATGATTTCCAATGTCTTTTATATGAAAGATACTAATTAACAGTTTGCAATGTTTGTGAAATATAATGTAAGCTGTTTTTACATTATATGTACATTGTCAGAAGCTCATGCTCCTGTACAAGTTATTTAATCTTTAATCTTTATAAACCATTTTAACTTCTGTCTTAAGGATCTTGATGAGGCCAATCCTTTCATTGAAAAGCACCACGACAAAATAGTTGGTATCGGTGAGGTAAGTTCACATGTTGATAACAGGCAAATTTCCAGTTAACATTATGGTCAGTGAAAACTAAGCTGGCAATGTCATGTTTCCTGTTTATGACAAACAGAACAACACTCTTAATGATATCAAGCATTTCTTTCGTTTTAAATTTTGAATATTTGAGCATATTTGTTGTCAGCATTTTTATTTTAGGTTGGCCTAGATTTTACACCATGGTATATTAAAATGCCCCAAAACAAAGAGGACCAGAGGAATGTATTCATTAAACAGGTAAACTGTTAATTATAGTTTTAAAAATGGTTATACATTTTCAGCTTTGTGAAAGGTAATTACAATGAATATGTAAATGAGATATGTATGAGAAGGTTTGGTTCATACTTAAAGGGATAATAACTCTTCGTTTTGGCCAAAAGATGAATTTTCCTAGAGTAAACAACAATTTTCCCGTACTTACCAATGGTTAATTAATCCATTTTTACATTCAAAGTTAGTCCCTGTTTTTTTTTTCTTAAAAGTTTGATTTTTTGTTATAATCTCTTAAGAGATTATAACAGAGTATAGCCATCAATGGAGTTCACGTGGTCTAAAGACAAGCTCAGGTATCAGAATAATAGCTATAACTGCTGTTTTTTTTGTACAACAGAATATATTATATTTCTTTGAGTTGTTCACAATGTTTTTATTATGAAATATAGATCTCATACGAAGAGTTATTATCCCTTTAAGCAATATAAATGTTATTACATGAAGAAGGGATTTTTGTGCTCACATGACCATGACACTTGATTTTGACCTTCCTCGTTGAAATTTTCAAATTAACTTTCTCTTATGTCTCAAAAACTACCAGAGTTGCTGTTCACCCATATATAGTACATTCAGTTGTTATCAACAGTAACATTAATTCTTTACAGCTGTTATTATTTTCAACAATGTACACGAACGTTGCACTGGATCTACCGACTGCAGACTGAAACAACCATTATCTGATGATCTGCATTTTTAAAGTTATTGAGAACTTAAAATGGTTTGTAAGTGACAGACACAATATGAGTCACTGTGCTGTACATGAAATATTACTAGTGTATTGTCGAGAGGCTGTGTTGTATCTGGCTGAAGCCACAGCTGCTACACTACTCTTGCATTATTATACACATTGGTAGCATCCAGATATTTGAAGATCCTCTAGACAATTCCTACATTTACTGAGAATGAATGTCATTTAAAAAAAAAAAAAACCTTCATGTGCCTAGATCATATTTTACCCAGAGCCAACCTTTTCCCAGCAAAAAAAGGGCTGTTCCTCCAAGAGTGGAGTTTTTGTCTAAACATTTATTGGCTCTGTTGCCATGTTTCAATTTCCAGGGTTGTTTGATACATGTAATTTTGGTATAATTGTTTTTATATACAGACAGGTACAGTAGTAGTTGTAGCTTCTGGCTTAGATTTCAAACAGCTCAACAAGCTGCCTACTTAAATATAACTGTGCTATGTTTAGTTATTTGACCTGACTGAGCAAGCTGTAGGCAAACTGTTTATATCGAACTGACAGGTAAGATAAATATGTCCCTGGCTTGAAATGAATTTGGTCTAAGTTACCAGTAAAGTCCCACTTAAATTGAACTATGAGGTTTAAAATTTATATATTTTGTATATTATAATAAGACTTCAATCATTTGTCTGCTTTCAATAATAATAATAGCAATTATAATAAATATAATATTTTCACAGCATTATTTGAAGAAATATAAATCTGTTCACTCAGTTATTTTTCATAGGTGAAGGACATATACAATATATGAGTGTATATACCGTAGCTTGGAGAATAAAGCCAAAAACTGCTTTTAACCCAAACAATTTTAAAGTCATTTTGACAAGCTCTTCATCAAAAAAAATTTTCTTTTAAGCCTGATAACTATAAGTTACTGAACAAAAGATTAGCACATGTGCTTCTCAGTTAAATAACTGTTGGGTTGTTTATTGCATACGTTGGCCCAACATTGAAAATGTCAGTTATTTCATTTTCGTTTGCAGTACCCAAGTTATTGCAGCCCCCTTAGCAGTCTCCTGCAAAAATGTTTAAGTTATTGCAGCCTCCTTTGAAGTCCCCTGCAAAATGTTTAAGTTATTGCAGCCCTCTTTGCAGTCTGCCTGCTCAAGGAGACTGCACACTGGAGCCCCAGTCTGCAAAGGAGCAGTCTCTCTGGCAGCCTAGGCTCCCGCGGGCGGCCGGGGCTCCTGTTCTAGCTGGGGTAGCACTTTTTACTGTTAAACATACTTTTCAGAAGACAGCTGCTATTGGTATTTATGTATGACACAAAATCCTTTATAGTTTTAGTGATACATACCTGCAATATTTATGATGGTCATTACATGCTTCCTTTGTGGTGACTGACTTCAATATTGTAGAGTACAAAATATACAGTACAATATATATATATATATACCGGTATATATATATATATATATATATATCTTCAAATATACATCACTGCCATGCTTTGCTGTGCTCCTTAAATGTGGTTCTTTTCCCTTTCCAGATAGATATAGCCAAGAAGTATGATCTTCCTGTGTATGTATTAAACTTTGTTTTTGTATTATCTACCAACAAAGACAATTATTGCGGAAACAGCCATGCAGTAACTTTCAATGTTGAGATCGATTAGATTTGGAAATTTTCATTATTGATGATGATCTATGAAATTGATTGTAAGTGATTTGAATATTGACAGTTTGGGATACATTAGATTTTATGTTTCAAATTTATAGAAATAAGAATTTGATTTTATGTGATAAACAAGGCTAATGTGCATTGAATTGATCTGTGATCTTCTCATTATATTTTAATGTGGAAAAATTATGAGATGGCATCTTAAAAAAACTAACTAGGAGGCCATAATCAGTTATAACTCGGGACAGCACTTTCCAACTTTGGATGCCGCCATGGCAATTTAGGAAAATGTTGACTTTGTTCTGGTTGATAATTTATCCATTTACTTAGGAATGATCTTTTATTTAATAAATATCCTTTTATTAAGGAATGTTCACTCCCGTTCTGCTGGAAACCATGCAATAACTTTGCTCAAAGAACAAGGTAAAAAATTTATGTCCAATTCAATATTTATCAAAATAATATTTTAATGGTTATAGCTCTGTGACCAACTTCAAATATAGAAGAGGTAATGATAGAAATATGAATATATTTTTTAAATAATTTAAAACTGTAATTGGAGGTACAAATCCAATAACAAAAAGATCAGATATAAATTTGTTTTATGTCACTTAGATGCATGACTGATGGTCTTCCAACATTTTGGGTGTCACCCAGGCTTTGTTGCATGGCTTCTTTACAAATTTAAGCAATGCATATAACTCTCTCTCTCTCTCTCTCTCTCATTTATTATTATTATTATTATTCAAGACTGAAAAGTCATAAATACTTGTTAAGATTATAGATTATATCTGTATACCTCAGGTGTGTCCAAGGCTTTGTTACATGCCTTCAGCGGTAGAGCCAGTGTTGCCATGGAGGGAGTTCAAGCTGGCTATTATTTCTCTTTTCCTCCAGTTATTGTTAGGAGTGAACAGGTGATGACCATTTAGGCTGCATTATGAAAAGATGATCCACAGACTGGTTCGTGGATCATATATGCCGACCCCACTTAAAAGCTATGCCGCTAATATGCGAATGGTCTCCCCGCACAGGCCAAACTACAGGGGCCTAGCAATTTAACCTCGGAGCCTATATTTAATTCGTCAAAGTGTTAGGCCCCAGCAGGCCTGGATCAGCAGCATCACTTTTAAGCCAGTCAACCATATTTGATCTGCAGGCGTGTTAATCTGTGCAACAGCATGTTCTGAAAGTACCCTGAGAGAATTTTAAAACTTCTTTGTGTTTGAATGTTACTATATCATTTCCATGAAACTATTTATGCATATTGTTTCACATTAATTTCATAACTAGTAAATTCATTCTCAAAGTAGTCCTTTTAGGATTGTTTACATGTCAGTGAAGGATTTTATCACTTTCTCTTTAGTTAATCCAGTACATTATAATTTTCCTACATTTTTTCTTTACGTGGAAATTAAAAGTAATAGAGTGCAGTTTGAATGTAAATGATTTATTTAAATGTTCTTTTTGATAATGAAATTTAAACAAATATTTTGTTTAAAAAAATGTTTCTTCTGTTAACTTTACCTAAGAAGCAAAAGCTTTTAGCAAGACTTCCTCTAGACTGTATGTTACTGGAAACAGACTCCCCTGCATGTGGACCAGAAAAGGGGGTACGTCATATTGAAGTCCAATACTTGTTAAATACTAAGAAAAGCAGTGTTTGATTACACCATGTACTAATATAAAAGAAAAAATATATGGGATTCCTTGTTAAGTTATTTTTAAAACAATATCCTGTTGATAACTTTTAAAAGAGATCTGATTTTGTTTCCAAAATACCAATACAAAAATGTCAAATATTTCAGAAACAACATCTTTTTTGTCATAAATGCACTCTTCTTGATGCATTGTTTCAGTCATATATATTTTGAAGTGATCTCTTATTTCATTTGGTATTATATTAATAGAATTTATCATTGAAACCTTACAGTTCAAATTTTCATCTTTTTAATTTCTGTATCATTTTGCTCATTTTAATTTAATGTAATTGTAATAGCATACAGATTTTATTTTCATTTAAAAATTAGAAACAGTTCAAAGAATGTGTGTACCTAAAGCAAATATTCACCAATCACAAGAAACGATACAATTTTTCTGTCTTCCAGGAACGGAATGTCCCAGCTAATATTACTCTCTCCTGTGAGTATATAGCTCAAGTGAAGAAAGTGGATAAAGAAACCGTGATGAGGATCACTACTGAAAATGCACTCAAACTTTTCCCAAAACTAAAGAATTTTGTGAAACTCTGATACATTTTTTCATAAATAAGAATGTTTTCATTATTATTGAACCAAGTACACAAACAGGGCACAGTTCATGCATCCTAGCAATATGTGAAGAAAACAGGGGAGCATGTGTTGAATGTACTGAAAAGTGCCCAACATTGATGTATTAACAAGATAGAAAGTCCATTGTGATTATTTGAATGGTGCTGTCTTTGGTTAAGAGAACTTGTGCCAGACAAGAATTTTTGTCAGACTTTAAGCAAAACCTTTAAGGTACCCATTTTGAGATTCTTTTTTTTTTTTTTTTTTTTTTTTGCAAAACATTTGTACATGTACCCAGCAAATTTTCCTGGGGTAAATTGTATTTTTCTCTGACCAACCATGCAACCTTTGATCCTCCTTTTCTAACACCTGCCATACCTCTATAACAATCTGATAAAATTAAAAAGTCCTTAACCTACTATTAAGGCCTGAGTTTTTCAAACCCCACCATGATTACTAGCTGACAACATGATAAATATATAAATGCAGGACGACTGAAATTTCAATAAAGCTAAATATAATACTTTCAAATGCATTTTTGTTACTTTCTTAAGTTTATTTATGTATCTATTGAAAAGATGTTTAATTGTTCATATATTTTTTAATCCTTTGACAAAGGCTAGAATGGTGGATTGTGCATATACCCTGTAGCAGATCGAAGCATTATGCATATACACATAATTTAAAATGATAAATGATTGATACAATGTTGACGTTTGTTTATTAACTGTTCAGTGCCAAACTCCATGGGTCCTACCAGCCTATTGGTACTGTGCGTATTTCTTAGATTATCAAACGAGTGACATTTTATGAATAGCATTTTTAAAATAAAGGTCACGGCACAATATTTTAATTAATGATAAAGATTGGTTTTAATTACATACTGTGCTATACACTACTTTTGAGTTAAATCAGGGAAAATCAATTAATATTTTCTTTAATTTCAACTTTTTTTTTTATTCTGCACCAATTAAGAGCCAAGAGATATTTGACAGCCAATTATATGTAATATGGTTTTACATTAATTGTAGGCACTTCCCTATGTTAATTTCTTGGTAAAAAAAAAAGGTATGGTGTATAAGGAACTGCAATTATACATTTTTATGATAATATATGTACGTAGTAAACATTTTTCTCAGTGTGTACAATAGCTCTTAATAAGCTCTTTACTTCCGATGAATTAAAATTGTTTATTCAATGTGCAGTCTTTCATTGAAACTTGAGTTCGTCGCGTCTTGGAAAAAGACAGTCCCAGAAATCATTGCTGGTTAACAATTTCCTATCACATTCACAACATGGTTGCCGCCTGACGAAATTCCATCAACACAACAGTTATCCTCATGCACAGATTACGAGGAATCCTGCATCTGAAACCTTCATTACTGGGGAAACAAACAGGGAAAGTCCCCAAAAACATAAGGTGTGAAGGCCAACCTGTTTTTCAGGCAAGAAATCTAGGGGTTTCCCCTAAAAAATTGAAAATGTCTGACAGAAAAGTTGCGAAAACGAGTGACTTTGGCGACATAAAAAGAGAAGATTCTTCATCGCCGTCACATGAATCGCAAAGGCGTGCCAGCACTAAGTATGGGGCAGACAAAGGTCAGTATGAGAATCTTAATAAGTTGCTGTTCAAGTCGACTAAAAGGAGAAATATTACAAATCCGTTGTGATTTTTTCATGATCATCCAAATATTACAGAACAGGAAGAGAAGTAAATTAATTAATATGCAACCAATATTAATATGCAACCTATTATTAACACGAAGAAGCTACTTGCTAGAGGATGTGCCCCGTTTAATATATGGAGCCAAATTCATTTTCTTTTTCTTTCATCATGTGGGGATTTTCCCTTGACATGTCCAATGAAGTTTCAGTTCCTAGGTGAAGGTTATAATTCCTATCCAGTGGTGAAAAGGCACAGCTTGAAGGCCTAATTTTTTGTCTAGGCTTTACAACATATATCTAAGGAAGTTGTAGAAATTATGGGCATTGTGTTATCATGTTTTGATTTCTTAACTAAATTCCTAACTCGAAGGGCAACACAGGTGGAGACCCAGATGATAGGTATAATGGTAACATGTTGGAGGAAACGAAAGGTAAATGCTGAACAGTTTTACACAGTGAATAACATGCTGTTGCTAATGAGCTTACACTGCTCTGTATGACTAATCATGGAAATATATTTACTTTATTTCCAGACTGACACATAAATCTGTACATAGCCATCACCTGCCTCTTTGTAATGACTGCCACCTTTTACTTCCTTTTTATTTTCATTTGTTAAAACATCAAAGGAAAATAGTGAAACTTATTATTCTCAAACTAACAGGTATACTTCATAGGACCATGTATGCATGGAAGTATAACTGGAACAGAATAGAAATGGGTGGGGGGCGTGACGATTACCAGCATTTTCTTTATCAAGAACTGAACCCTAAGAACTGAAGGCAGCAATCACAGAAAAAAAGGAAAATCCCCAAAGAGGAATATGTTTGAGTGTCTGACAATATTTGTGACATACACAAGTGTGTCTCTAACATTGACAAAGTCTCAGAATGAAAAATACTATGTATGTTTGTACGTGTACATGTGTTCTGTTTTTCCTTGCATATTATGCCAAGGAATTATGTACAGTATTTCTATTCATAGCTGTTTCAATATAGTCAGTTTTGTATTATTTTTAACCAAGAATTGCACCATGTACTCAAATCATGGGATTCTTGATAGGGATTCTATAATATATCTGACCTTTCTTTTACCCAGTCTCCTTGGATAAAAGCCAACAGACTATTTTTGATGTGTTCAGACTTAGTGATCTGGCATTTCACAATGTATTTTGGTTTGAATTGAGTTATTACTTTTGAGTGTTTTCTTTCTTTCCAAAACTGAATATAACTATAGATTCCTTAGATTTATTGCATTCAAAAATTTCTATTTTTAGAAACATATCTAACAATGCCCCTGGAAGAAAAGAGAAAAGTATACAAATGTGGCCGAGACTACATCACACCAGACAAGATTCAGAATTGGCCTTTGTATGTTCAGAACAGGCGTGGGAAGTATAAGAATAAAGGTGCAGGTATGTGAAGAGTAGAGTGTAGAAGAAGTGCAATTTGATACTCAAGTCTATTTTTTGTGACCCCTTTTGTCTGCTTGCAGTGGACCCCAAAGAATCGGGTTCTATGTAATTCAATCATATTTTCAGATATGCTGAAAACTATTCAGAATGGTTGGACATTTGGACCGGCAGAAATGAAAAATTTGCCGGACCGAAAATCACCCTATGCGTTTGAGACAGATACTACCAGTATTATTAGGGTAGCTAACTTTGTTTGTGAATGTGATAGGTTTGAAATGGAAGGGGAAATCGTTTTGGGTCTTAAATAATTTTATTAGTGAAGTATGTCAAATGATGGGCCCAGCACATAGCCAGAGATAGGGCCAAGTGGAAAGAAGTGACTGTGGCCCTATGTCCCACACGGGACGAAGAGGAATGATGATGATGTCAAATGATGACTGTGAATTCAAAATTGCAGCTCTTAAAACTCTTGTCGGTCCTTTGGACCAACCAAGTCCAAATTTTTACCGATCTAGACAAATTTTGCCGGTCATGAACGATCGGACCGACAGTTTCAGCATGTCTGTATTCTACCATATAAATTATTTCTAACAAGAAACACCGTACAACTAAGCAAAAATGTTCATTAGCTTGGTAGTTGGATACTAAATGAAAATTATTAAACATAAGGGGTCAATCTACCTGACATTTATAAGAGGGTCCTGGCTGCTATAACACCTAGCAGTCAATGAGTAACAATATCTACTCACAATGGTCTGCTGAAAGCCTACATCCAGGTTGACCATAAGCTAACAATATGAATTTTTTTTTCGGCTTGTGCTTGATGTGGGAGAAACAAATAGATGCAGCTGAAATGTGGATTAATCGAAGAATGTTATGCATCTCGTGGTGGAAAAGAAAAACGAATGACAGTGTTCTTGAAGAACTCTGTGTTTAACTGTTTGTTAATCACAAAGTATTGAACAAGATCAAAGAAAGGAAGCTTATTTTTCTGGGCCACCAGCTGCAATTGGAAAAATCTGAGTTTTTTACATTAAATTTCAAAGCGTGGCAGGCTGAGGTTTAGATAGAAGGACAACATACAAAAATGAACAAGAAAAAGGGCTTGGTCCATGGAGTGTGCCAACAATCTTTGGTATACAGACGATCAGGCTGATGATGACAATGAACTAAGCAAGAAGTTTTCCAGCTTTCAGCTTCAGTGTTCCATTCAACAGTATTCTGTGTTGCCTGTTTTCTTGGTATGAGTGGGACAATAAATGTTTGTGGTAATCTGGGATGGAGGAGACATGAAGTTTCAGTGTGTGTGTGTGTGTGTGTGTGTGTGTGTGTGTGTGTGTGTGTGTGTGTGTGTGTGTGTAAAACAATCTTCGTGACAGTTGTGTTATTACTTTGCCTTTTTTTTTTAAAAATTATATCTTGCTTTAGGTTTAAGAAGAATTGTGGGGTTTGACAAATGAGTAATCATTTTAAGAAAATTTCCATATCATTTCAGATAAAGTTCAGCCAAAATTTGAAGTAAACCAGACATTGAATCAGAAGATAGCCTTGTTCAGAGGAGACATAACTAAATTAGAGATTGATGCCATAGTAAATGCTGCCAATAGCTCTCTAGCTGGCGGAGGTGGAGGTAGGAAAACACAACCAAATTTGCCCTCACAGAAGCTAATGAAATCCAAATTTGGAAAATTGCTCTTTCTGGAAGTTGTTTTTTCTAGTGATGATATGCTTTAAACAAAGATAGTTTCAGGGAATAAGTTATGAGTCTGAATATAAATGTTTGATACTGGATTATAATCTGGGTCAATAAGGCAGAGAAATGAAAGTGTGGACAGTTTTTTTTTTTTAATTCAAGTTATAACAACTATTCGTATGTGATTCATATTTCACAATAAATGCATCACGTAGCCCCTTATTATTTTCCCTTTTATATTAGTTGATGGATCCATCCATTCTGCTGCTGGTCAAAGACTACTGCAGACAGAATGTAAAACTTTGGGCGGCTGTAAGACTGGAGAGGCTAAGATCACTGGAGGTGGGTATACCTCATGTATTCAGTGTCCTACCTAATGTATTGAATTCACTGTGAAATGGTACTTAGTTAAGATCACTGTTAACTTTGACACCATTAATTCACAATCACATAAGAAAGATGTTTTCACATCAAACATGTACTAGTATAGTGGCATACCTGATGCATTTGATACATTAGATAAATCATAGTATGCAAGTTAAGTTCAGAAATATCATTGTGGACATCACTGAATCGTATTGCCTGGCTTTATATGTCTATGCAGATCTGTATGCTAAGTTATCCAAACAAAGTTAAATTTTAGCTGCTATTTAAAGTATTGACACTTTTTCAAGAACACTCAAATCTTAAAGAAAATTAAGATACTGAGTGTTTTGTTGATGTATTTGAGATCTACTTAGTATATTTAAAGCAGTGAGGTCAATTGTTTTATTCAGTTGACCAAGTCAACTCACTCCACCATTTTGGATCTCTATGACCACTGCAAGAACCAGATTCGTCATCAATGAGTTCTCAATATGTAAAAGTTATTTTTTATTGTTTTAAAAATTTGTGATCATATAACAAAGCAGCTGTACACTTTGGCATCAGTCATTTATCACAGGTTTAAATTGAACCTGGCCAAGACATGACCTCAGCCAAAGTCGGTAATTGAATATTGTTTTAAAGTGACACTTCATGGGATCTTTCTGCCAAAATTAATATCTAGTGATTCTCTCCCTACATTTCCAAATCCCACAAAGCCACATTCATGTCTTGTAAAGCTTCTTATATTTCCCAATTAAGACTCTTAAGACAATAAAGCCCTTGAGATAAAGTTTATCATCCTTACTGTAGCCATTGCTAGCTTGCAACGTCTGTATTATAAATGGCACAGGCCCTGATACAGAACACCCTGGCATTTTGTTGTGTGAAAACATGTATGTGGTGGCAGAATGCCATTATAATGACTGGCCAGTAGTTATAAACTAAATAACCAAATTGAAAATGGAATAAAACATCCAAGTGCAGGAACAGGTCAAGCAATGATTCACGAGTAGGAAAAAATTGCCCTTTACCCAAGGAAAATTCATTTTGGCGGGGAAAATCTTATGGAGTTGGCCTTTCAGGTAAATGGTTTGATTTGACCTTTGCATTTACTTTAAAATTAGATAATTGTATTCTTATCTACTTTCATTGCAGGATATAAGCTGCCAGCCAAATGTAAGTAACCTTTGTTCAGTTGATTGTATGTATGTTCATGTGTTTGCAATTGCACATTTTGCCAAATAAGCAAAGTTCACAGAACTTTCTTATTAATAATTGTAACGTGATATTAGTTCTTACAATTATGTTATCAACTCAAATATTATGAATTTGATGAACTGTTTATGATATTATTTCAGTAACTTTCTGCACAGAGAAGATATGATTTTAAAGATATTATTCAGTGTGTAAAAGTACTGGCAGAATTATTGTATGATGATAAAAGTATTCACACTCATTTTTTTTTCATGGCCCAAAAATATTTATTCACCTAGTGTTTACCTGTATAAAGATGTGAAACCTCTGACATGCACTTTTATGTAAAAGAGTAATCTGCAATGAATAACACATTTAGTTTTTCTGTAATACCAAAATGAAAAAGAGAAATGGATCTGTGGCTTTATAAAACAGGGTATAAGTCGGGTTTTGAAAAGTGGTTGCCCCCCTCGAGAAATATCTCATGTCCAGCAGAGCAAGTACTTGTGGTCCAGCGCAACTAAGTATTACCTGAAAGAAGATGTGCATTTGACGTTTTTCTTATTTTTTCTGCAAATCACGAAATGTTTTATTAAATGGTAAAGAGTTAAGACAAATTTTGGTGTTTCAGATGTAATCCATACTGTTGGTCCAGTGGGTGAGAATGAGGACAGATTGAAAAGTTGCTACGTGTCTTGTCTGAACCTGATGAAAGAGTACAAACTGAGGACAGTGGTAGGTGATAGAACTTCTAGCGCAAGAGAGATTGGGTGTGTGTAGTGTTTATGTTAGGGGGATTTTGTGTTCAGTAGTCAGTTTATGTTTGTTAATTGTAATTGAATTGTAACATTGCAACCAAAATGTTGAAGTTTTGTATTTATAATGCAAATACTTAAAAATTTCAAAAGACGTGGGTATATTTTTAAAAGTTAGCATATATATATTTTTGGCATTTCATGCAAGAACACCTTTTTAGGTGTTCTTGCATGAAATGCCAAAAATTAAAAGTGCAAATTTTAATTTTTGAATGAAATTCATTACAAAGAAAGTGGGATAAAAAAAATCTTAAAAAAACGTTTTTAATATGTCCTATTTGAGATAATTATAAAAATGATAAAAGAAGGCCTGATGATGAAATCTTTCTATATGAGATAATTATGGAAATGATAAAAGAAGGCCTGATGATGAAATCTTTCTTGACTTGCTTTCTTTCATCCTTCATGATATACAGACACTGTTATGTCTGTAGGAGGTTTGTTTGGCAAAAAGACCAACTTTGTATATTTTCATATGTTTATTCAAATCTGATAGTTAGCTTTTTTCGGTGAAAGGCAGGTCTTCAAACATTCAATTTGTTCAACAGTTATTGTGGTGTTTTGCAATCCAGTTAACCAGTATGTGTAAGGGGTTGATGCATGTTAGAATTATTTCAAAATCTTTTGTTTCAAGTTACTAGAAGTAACCTTATTTGAACATTGAACCTGTACACATGGTTTTAATTGAGAACTTGTGTAAAATGGCATGCAAGGAATAAAGGGCAAATGTACACTGAAGTTGGCCACTGATAATATTGCAAAGTGGGATAAATTATTTCAGTGTTCACTGGAATTTGCCAGTTTTACCTAAAATGGAGCAATGGAAATTACTTCTTTGTCTAAAGTGTCTATCAAAAGATTGGGAGTAATGACAAATAGTAGTGCTTAAAAAGTTTTAGAATTTACTCTTTTTCATTCATCTTTCCCAGGCGTTCCCCTGTATATCCACTGGCATATATGGTAGGTACAGCTGAGACATGTTATGTAATATGTTGAAATGCAACTGTCAAAGATGTGAAAAAGAGAGATGTTAACTTTTATTAATTTCCTTTTAGAAGCACTCATTTACATCAGCTGAGTGACCTAGATTAATGTTGTTATATCTTTACTGCTGAACAGTTAGCAAATTAATGTAACTGGAACGCTACATACAAACGTGCTAGCAGAAGTAATTATATCAAGATTTTATTACCAAGATTTATTTTGGGTGTCTGTGAAATTTTTAAGGTTTTGTCTTCTCATAGTCCTGTTATAAGATTGTTTGTTGTGATTGTACATAATCACAGCAGCAGCGGTGTATAGTAAAAAAAAAATAATAATAATTGCATGTAATTGTATAGTTGAGCAAACTTAAATGATATTTATAGGTTTTGTTTTGCTACAGTAATCAAATTACTGAAATCACTTTAAACTCTGCTTGCATGTATTGAATTTATTTTCAAACATTAGTAAATTATTTTTAGATGTACTATTTTGATTGTTTGTACATCATATTAGGTTATCCCAATGAGCCTGCCTGCGATACTGCACTTTCCTGTGTTAGAAACTGGCTTGAAGAGGGAGACAATGCAGACACTGTAAGTGACCACTTCATTATAGTAAAATGTAGCTAAATGCTGAATATGCTCTAGGTTGACTACAAAAAATGTGAAATATTTTGCAGGAATCATTGCAATTCTAGGAGCAATGGCAGAATTAGCATTACAGGCCTGCCAGTGCTCCTAGAATTGCAGCTATGATTCCTGTATTTTTTTAGGAATCCTATAAAAGGTTCTTATATATTTGATTGAGGTTTGTGTATTGTTCTACATTATCAATTTTTATGGAGACCCTGTTTAAAGGTAATTGCAAAGTCATTGATGTCCTCTTCAGAGGGAAGTTTGGAATTAATACTGGTAAAATACAAGTAGATTTTTTCCACAATGCAATGAAACATAAAAACTTGTGTCATAGGGTGGTATTGCTTGGTTATTTATTTGTCTAAACATTTGGAAATTTTTCAGAAAAATACTTGTTAATGGGTTAACAAGTAGTACTGAGTCCTTTTCTCCAGAAACTTTTTGTGTTAATGGTTTTTTAGAAAATGTTTTGGCATAAATATTGAACTAAGGGATCGTTCACATGGAAAATCTATTTTCTAAAAATCTAAAAATCTATTTGCGGTGTCTTGTGATCACGATCTGTGCCCTAAATACCCCAGGGCGTATTTACTGGCAGCGCGAGCCAGTTACTTCCAAAGCTGTAATTAATTCTCAGTACTGCCAGTAAATACACTGCGGGGTATTCAGGGCACAGACCGTGATCACAAGATACCGAAAATAGATTTTTAGATTTTTAGAAAATAGATTTTCCATGTGAACGCAGCCTAAATAAAAAACAGGAAGCAAAATTGGACCTTAGTCCTGTAAAGGAACTTTCGCACTTATTTAGTCATGTAGCAAAATACATGTCTAAATTTTTTATGAAACTTGAATGCTTGAATACTTGCTTGTTTTATACACATTAAAGCTGAGGCTTACAAAAGACATTAGTTGATGGTTTCCTGACCCAAGCCCATTTATGAAGCACACATTGATGTGTAGCAATTTCAGCCATGATTAGGCAGTTATTTAATGTCCCAAAATCATATTTAAAAATCTGTCTGAATTTCAATCTTGCCTGCATATTTTCTACATTCAAATTTAAAATAAAGTGAAATCTCTCCTTATTTCCAGGTTGACCTCATAATATTTTGCCTATTTCTCCCTGTGGATGTTGGATTCTATGAGAGCAAGATGTTGGATTATTTTCCTCTTCCATCTGACTTTTATGGAGGAGATGGCGACAATGGCAACAACACTTCCACTAAAGATGATAAATGCAAGTGTTTAAAATAGAATAGCACTAACAAAAAAATTATTGAATTTTGTTTAGATTATCCGTCAAAAAAACAGAAAAAAATGAATTGTTATTTTCTACTTAAAAGCTCTTTGATTCCTAGAATTTAACTATGAGAGAAAGTAACCACATAGTTACTTTTTTTTAAAGTATGAAATAAATCACAAAAAAAAAAAATATGCATGAATGAAAGAGATGAAATTTTTACTACTGCAAAATTTCTTTTTCAGCAAAATCAGTGGAAAAGACGGCAGCAGCTGGTTCCAGCACCACCCAAGCTAAAGATACATCTGTGGATGTTGCCATGGAATCACAGCCAGAGGAAGCTCTGGAAGAGACATCTAACACCCAACCTATGGCCTCACTAGATATGGAAGACGATAACATGCTCACTTCACACAGCTCTGAATTAGACTCAAAAGAAGGCAACGGAAATGATGTGGAAATTGAACAGGAAGGTCTTCATAGCACTAGAGAAGAAGTAGCGTCTGGTGTTAAGATTGACACCGAATTGAAAGATAGTTTGCCAAATAAAGAGAATCTTGACCATGAGGATGGTATACAGGATGAAGCACAAGACAGAATGTAAACTCATTTAATTTACTTTCCATAGCTCAAAGCTACAAATATGGTCAAAAAAATTCAAGAATAGATATGGGGATGACATAGGCCAGAACCTAATACACATATCTGGACCTTGGGTGTAACTATGATATAATATAAATATAAGTTGTAAACTTGCTGCCTTAAAGGCCGTATCAATCATATGTTTTCCATTTTTTTGGAAAATCCTGTCCTTAATTGAAATGAATTGGAAGGAAAGTACTATGATAATTGGTTTACAGATGTTATGTATTATACATAATTGATTAAACAATGAAATGAGGTTTGAATTTCCTTGAAATAATTTACATATTCTGGTAGCCTAGGATAAGAAAAAATCATTAGTATTGTTTTTATTATTACAGCAACTTGCTGTTTCTTTTGTAAATAATCTGTATATGGGTGGTGATTAACAGTGCCCAGATAATAGACAAAGTGGGAAGTTAAAATGTATTGTGAAAAATAAAAACGTACCATGTGATTCAGTATTATTGCAATTCTATGGGTTGAATTAAATGTGTAAATGGAATATGTCTATTCATTTAGCAGTCATTTTGAAGTTCTACATATAAATAATGACTGCTGCAGATTGGTTTTCCTTCATTTTTTCATGTTTTAATGAAAGAATATTGTACAAGGGGTCAAATAAGCCTCAGTAAATTTCAGCAAGAAAGCCGAAACTTTTTTGACATGTGGAAATAATACATTCTCAGTGTTATTCTAGTCTAGTGATTTGTTTTTGTTACTGTAAACATAAACATATCTGAAATGCTAAACAATTATAGTGAATGGGATGAGTGATTAAAGTTTGATGAATTTTACTTGGGTAAAGAGCAATTTTCTCCTACTCACAATTTATTTTTCAACCCGTCGCTGCTCTTGAAATGGATGTCATATTCCTTTTTCATTTTATGACTTAGTTCTAAATGACTGGCCAGTCATTTAGAATGACGTGGTCTTCCTGATATTCACCTTCATGGCCTCGCTTTCACACAGGAAATGGTGTGATGTTTTATATTGCAGCCCTGTACTGTGGACAATACAGATGTAAGCTGTCAAGGAGGCTGAGAAGACAGTGACACTCAATATGCCTCAGATAAACTTAAGATTTAAGGGTTTTAATCATCTTTAACTAATGCCTGGATAGAAGAAGAAACTGCTCAGAATAAGAATATGACTAAGGGGAAATTTATAATGCATGGAGAGTACCTTTATGTCAGTTTAAATTATTTTCATTTGACCATTTCAACTATCTTCTTAATAGCCAAAGATGTATAACACGACAACAGATGTGCTGCTATTGTCTATTTGTCAGTAAAAATAGTGAGAGACAGAGGCTTGGTGGTGAAGGTAACAATATATTATTTTTTTCTGTTACATAGGGAACAGGGCATCCAAGGTCATTTGGACACTTTTTAAGGCTCTTAATGTTTAAAACCTCACTTATGATATAGTATAAAGTACATATTTTATTGTGTAGACAAAAGTTTTTGTCAGTGAAAAGGCTCATTTTGTTTGTTGATTTTTTATGAAATCAGCAGAGTAATAGAGATATTTGACATTAAAAAGTTTTCAAGTGATTTGTTAGTTTTCTGTCAAAATGTTCTGTATATTGTTTTTGTTTGCTAACTAAATTCAGAATAATTAAAGATACTGAATTTTTTGATGGTCTTGCTTTATTGTTGCATTATTGGTTACNATAAGACGACCTTGCGTAATTCTACAGCAAATCCAAGAGTGAGTAATACGATAGCTGGAAACGGAAGATGAAAATGGCTGCAGAGAGAAAGAACACAGATGATATAAATTCAAAATTTGTGAATATTTAGTGGGTCTAAAAAGAAGAATGTAGAACATAATTTACACATTATAATCATTCTTGCAATCAATTCCATCAGTATTAAAATAATTAATTTATATTTTCCACGATGACATATGTGGTATGAAAAAGTATGTTTACATTACAAGCTGTTATTTTCATAGGCGGAAACACAAATCTATATGAGCATACAAATATATATGTACTCAGTATAGGCCTACTACCTAGAGTACCCACCGAAGGTGTATTTATTACTGCCGGGGACACCGAGTTGACCCTTATCCCGTTTTTGGCCAGATCAAGAGCCATACACCTGGTCAGTTGCAAGACAGCTCCTTTACTGGCGTCGTATGTCCAGCGATTTCGTTTTGGTACGTGTCCCGTGATGCTGGCAATATTAACGACAGCGCGGCAGCCCGGCTCGGCTGATGAAAATGATGATAAATTAAAATATATTTGGAAATGGTATGACTTTATGTATACAACTGTGAGGACACAATAATTAGGGTCAATATCAAGGCGTTTTTTTTTTTTATATATAGATTAAGTCTTTATCTTGACAGTAAATTTTTGGTAAACGAATTTCACATGAGAGGGGCATATAAGGCGAAGGTATGCAGTTTATTGTGCTAGTTGAGACTGCTAGACTGTTGCGCTAGTTGAAACACACTACATAAGTCCAGACAGTGTGTCCCAAGCTCTCTATGTACCTTTCTTCATGTAGGGGTGACATGCCTGTACCATGTTTGCATATCCAACCACGTTCACGTTCAGCGTCTTCTCCCAGTCTGACGTGGATGCGTCCATACCTGGAAAAATGTTATCTAAATATCTAAATCACAGTCACTGTTTTCAGTGCAGGCGAACGTGCAGGAAGTTTGTGCAACTTTTTTTTTTACATTTGCTACCCTAGGTTCTAGATTTCAGTATTGTCAGCTCGATCTTGATTTCATATATATCCCATATCAGCAATACTGTAAAGCTACCACGTGAAAAGTTATAGCGAGCAAGCTAGCTTTATATAGTGCCCTGACACTTAGGGCACATTTGGGTTGACCTACATACAACTACTGTTGTAGGTCTATTATATTGTTTGCAAGGCCCTATGCACCGTAAGAGTTGTGTTGCACGAGATTACTCACCCTTGAAGATAAAACACGCAGCGCCGTTTATCACATAGTTAATGCTGCCACCATGTTTGTCTGCTATGTCTACCGCGGCCTTGGAACACGCGTCCCTGTTAGACACATCGACGTGGTAATATGCGGCGTCTAACCCCTCCCCCTTAAGCTCAGACTCCAACTGTTTCCCCGAATCTTGGTCGATGTCGAGGAAGGCAACGGACGCACCGTCATTGAGGAAACGACTGACACACGCCCTGTTTATACCCGAGGCTCCCCCGGTGACTACTGCCACGCATGAGTTGAACCTTCCCTTGGTGTGATTTGCATCTAGTTTTGGTTGAGGTCGCGCCATGCTGTAACACATGGAAGCCCGCATGCAGTGCTTTAACATAGGCCCTGATCCGAGACAGACGATCGAAAACATCGTGACTTAACGAGGAATCAAACGATACTTTGCGAGATTTGGAAGGGAGTGGAGAGAAAATAATGGCAGACTAGAATTTAAAATGCGTTGCACTGCAACAAAAAAAAGCTGACAGTATTAATTTATCTATGGAGATTTTACGGCTTGTGTTTACCAAACAGGATAAAAAGTGAAATTTAAAACGCATGTTTCTTTTTACTCAAAGGTGCATGTAACTTATGTATTTTAAAACATTAACGATGCATTGAGCTTCATACCGGTAGATCCTTAATGCTAAACAAGGCAGCAAAGCTGTCAAATGTACAGAGAAAAACCAGAAAATAAAAACACAGGAAAAAGGATACTGTCAATTTTGATGCACTAATGTATTATGCTTACTGTAACTGCATAGCCAACATCAAATTCTAATTCTGCATAACAGTGGATTAGGATGAAGGTAAAATGTGTAACAAACATTAGACCGAGTTCCCATACCTAGATCAATCTAACAGGATCAAACCAACTCCAAGGGGTTTCTCACTAAATTGTTTTCAGCTTAAGCGGCTTAGGATTCTGGCATGCCAGTTTCAGTAGGCGTGACAGACAGCTAAGCCACTTATATATATATATATATATATATATATATATATATATATATATATATATATCATGCCAGTTTGAAAAATTAAAAATTAAAGAAAAAATTACAAAAATATTCCACTAAAGCTGCCATTCAGTCTAGCTGCATAACCATGATATGAATCATCCAACTTGAGTTTAAACAGTGTAAACAACTCACAGAAATATAATATATTTTGTTTTACCACAAAAAGGGCAGTAATAGCTATTATTCTGATATCTGAACTTGTCATCAGACCATGTGACCTACATAGGTGGCTATACTTATTTCTTAAGAGATTATAACAAAAAAAAACAACACTTTTTAGAAAAAAAATTAATTATTTGCCAAAAATGAACAGTTATTATCCCTTTAACTGCAAAGTCAAGTTGCAAATATTGCACAATAGGTAGTATCAATAAAAGTGAACTGTTACATACCCTTGGGAGTTATAAGTCCCACACTGAAAATGCCAGTAGGTAAAAGATATAAATTTCAAAAATATATACAACAGAATAACATGGTTAATAAGATTACAGTTTCAGGACCATATGTGAGAGTTCAAATTCACAAAATGAAAAATCCCAGTATGTGAAAAATGATGACAGTGCATAAAATAATATTGTATAACACAATGTTTAAAGACATAAAAACCAACACAACTGCTAATGTGCAAAAACAAAATACACAGCGCTTCTGGTGGATGACAGTTGAAAGTGTCATCTTGAAGATGCTAGTGTTTGAAAAAAAATTAAAAGAGAATGTAAAACATAACAAAAATACCAATAAAGCTGCTATTCAAACTTTTAATCTGGCTGTACAATTACTAACAAGATATGAATAACCCTATTAATTTGAGAATAATAAGGCACTGTTATTCATCTTTAGCATTAATGTAAGCGTTACACAAAATTTTTCTTTTGTAAACTTATTTTCAATATTAAATAACATTTACCTGCATAATAATCATCGATTCCTAATTATGTGACACAGTTAACAGAGCTAAACCTATGGGACTTTACAATGAAATCTCAATGTGTGTTTATGTAATCTCATTTAATGGCCACTTGAAAATTAATTAAGCAAATTATTTTATAACCCTGAAATAACTTGAAAATTAATTAAGCAAATTACTTTATAATCCTGAATTAATTGCCTACTATCCATATACATTTATTGCACCAAATAGCACTCTACTGCATTGCTTTCAAAACAGAAAACAATTACAATGGTTTTCCAACACAAGCTGCACTTCAGTCTTTTTGGTAAGGTTGATTATCATAAGTAACATGGTTTTCCCTTAATTGCCATCCTGGCAGCAGTGTCCAAAATAGGGTTTTCTTCAACTTTCATGCAATATAACATAATACTTAACAGCAATAAACCATCAATTTTTTATAAAAAAATAAAACTATCATGGATATTCAGAAAATGTGATATGGAAAGGTCTCCAAGGACATGGAAGTTCAGAGTCACAGTTTCAAAATGCCAAAATGTTAACAAGAGATAACTGTACTAAAAAGATTTTCTTTCCATTTTCAACACCTTTTTAACATAAAAAAATAATCAATTTACTGTAATTTTTAAATGATCAACTAGGAAAATTGTTGACATAGGAAAAATATCAATAGAACAATTTATAATGTCCAATTTGCTCCATTTGGAGATTCTGAACATAGTGAATGATTGAATGTGACGAACTGCAATGATGAGTTCCTTTCCAAGTTTACCNACATAACTTTTGAAACAAGGCAGCAAAGCTGTCAAATGTACAGACAAAAACCAGAAAATAAAAACGCAGAAAAAGGATACTGTCAATTTTGATGCACTGATGTATTATGCTTACTGTAACTGCATAACCAACATCAAATTCTAATTCTGCATAACAGTGGATTAGGATGAAGGTAAAATGTGTTACAAGCATTAGACCGAGTTCCCATACCTAGATCAATCTAACAGGATCAATCCAACTTCAAGGGGTTGCTCACTAAATTGCTTTCAGCTTAAGCGGCTTAGGATTCTGGCATGCCAGTTTCCGTAGGCGTGACAGATAGCTAAGCCACTTACATATATATATAAGTTAAAAAATACAGAAAATGTTACAAGTAACAGTACAGGGCTCCTGGTGGATGGGAGTGATAAGTCACATCTTGAAAATGCCAGTTTGAAAAATTAAAAATTAAAGAAAAAATTACAAAAATATTCCACTAAAGCTGCCATTCAGTCTAGCTGCATAACCATGATAAGAATCATCCAACAAACAGTGTAAACAACTCACAGAAATATAATATATTTTGTTTTACCACAAAAAGGGCAGTAATAGCTATTATTCTGATGTCTGAACTTGTCATCAGACCATGTGACCTACATAGGTGGCTATACTTATTTCTTAAGAGATTATAAAAAAAACAACACTTTTTAGAAAAAAAATTAATTATTTGCCAAAAATGAACATTTATTATCCCTTTAACTGCAAAGTCAAGTTGCAAATATTGCACAACAGGTAGTATCAATAAAAGTGAACTGTTACATACCCTTGGAAGTCCCACACTGAAAATGCCAGTAGGTAAAAGATAAAAATTTCAAAAATATATACAACAGAATAACATTGTCAATAAGATTACAGTTTCAGGACCATATGTGAGAGTTCAAATTCACATAATGAAAATCCCAATATGTGAAAAATGATGGCAGTGCATAAAATAATATTACACAATGTTTAAAGACATAAAAACCAACACAACTGCTAATGTGGAAAAACAAAATACACAGCGCTTCTGGTGGATGACAGTTGAAAGTGTCATCTTGAAGATGCTAGTGCTTGAAAAAAAATTAAAAGAAAATGTAAAATAAAACATAACAAAAAATACCAATAAAGCTGCTATTCAAACTTTTAATCTAGCTGTACAATTACTAACATGATATGAATAACAGTATTGAGTTAGAGAATAATAAGGCACTGTTATTCATCTTTAGCATTAATGTAAGCATTACACAAAATTTTTTTTTTGTAAACTTATTTTCAATATTAAATAACATTTACCTGCATAATAATCATCGATTCCTAATTATGTGACACAGTTAAGAGTGCTTAACCTATGGGACTTTACAATGAAATCTCAATGTGTGTTTATGTAATCTCATTTAATGGCCACTTGAAAATTAATTAAGCAAATTGTTTTATAACCATGAAATAACTTAAAAATTAATTAAGGAAATTACTTTATAACCCTGAATTAACTGCCTACTATCCATATACATTTATTGCACCAAATAGCACTCTACTGCATTGCTTTCAAAACAGAAAACAGTTACAATGGTTTTCCAACACAAGCTGCACTTCAGTCTTTTCAGTAAGGTTGATTATAATAAGTAACATGGTTTTCCCTTAATCGCTATCCTGGCAGCAGTGTCCAAAATAGGGTTTTCTTCAACTTTCATGCAATAATTTATATAACATAATACTTAACAGCAATAAACCATCAATTTTTTTATAAAAAAATAAAAGTATCATGGATATTCAGAAAATGTAATATGGAAAGGTCTCCAAGGACATGGAAGTTCAGAGTCACACTTTCAAAATGCCAAAATGTTAACAAGAGATAACTGTACTGAAATGATTTTCTTTCCATTTTCAACACCTTTTTTACATAAAACAATAATCAATTTACTGTCATTTTTAAATGATCAACTATGAAAATTGTTGACATAGGAAAAATATCAATAGAAAAATTTATAATGTCCAATTTGCTCCATTTGGAGATTCTGAACATAGTGAATGATTGAATCTGACGAACTGCAATGATGAGTTCCTTTCCATTTTTGATACTTTTTTACACAATGCACGATAATAGGTTTACTGTCATTTTTATATAATCAACTAACAATATTGTTAAGAAGCAGAAAATGTTAAAACAACACTTTTACATATCCAATTAGTTCCGTAATGAGACTGTTAACATGCTTAAGAATTAAATCTGAAGAAAAACCACTTATATACAAAAAGGCTAATAACTTCATCAAAACTTAACTGATCAAGCTTATTTTCAAACTTGATCTGTATACTGGTCAGATTGATCACTCCTGTGAGTTGCAAGACAAAAGGCTGATTGGTTTTCCTTAAAATGCGTTATCAGTGTTGCATGTATGCTGAATAAAGGGAAAAAAACAGCATTACTTTTGTAAAAATAGTCCAATCATGCCAATTTTCAAACTTGACCTGCGTAT